AGGTGGTATCTCAGTGTGGTTTTGATTTGCATCTCCCTGATGATTAGCGAGGTTGAACATGTCTTCATGTGTCTGTTGGCTGTTCGGATGTCTTCCTTTGTGAAATGTCTGTTGAAAAGAAAAAAAAGGGCAAAAGATATACTCAACAATTTTAAAATAAAAAACTTAAAGTTGGAAAAAAGCAGAAAATCTAATGTTTGTGTATCATATAGTTCCCATAGTCTTCTGTAGGCTTAGGAACTCACTACAAGAAATTTAATTGATAGGAAAAATTTATTTTGTGATTTTCATCATCAGATTAGTTATGACTTAAGAAAAACTCATTTTTTAAAAATGAACAAGTGAAATAATTCTACACAAGCTTTGTTATTCCTGCTGTAGAATTTATTTACATATTTGTTTATACATTTTTAGTGAAAAATTCCAGAGATTTAAATAAGGGATATAAAGTTTCTTTAAGGTAAAGTTTAAGTGATGTAATTGTGAATGTTACTGCAGGGAAGATCCAAGCACTAGATTTAAATCTTCTTTAATCCCATCATAAAGATCTTTACAATGAGAATTACAAAACACTACTCAAAGGAATATAAGAAGACACAAACAAATGGAAAAATATTCCATACTCGTGCTTAGGAAGAATCAACATTGTTAAAATGTTCATCCTACCAAAAGCAATCTACAGATTCAACGCAATACCCATTAAATTACCAACATCATTCTTCTCAGACCTGGAAATGACAATACAGAAATTCATATGGAAACATAAATGACCACGAATAGCCAAAACATTACTTAGCAAAGGAAACAAAGTGGGAGGTATCACACAGACATTAAACTTTATTATAAGACTACAGTAATCAAAATAACCTGGTATTGGTACAAGAACAGACATATAGACCAATGGAACAGGATAGAGATTCTGGAAGCAAAGCCTTAATTCCTCAACCAATTCATCTTTGACAAAGCCACCAACAACAACCACTGGGGAGAGGAGAACCTATTCAGTAAACGGTGTGGGAAAACTGACTGATCACACACAGAAGACTGAAACAGGACTCCTACCTATCACAATACACAAAAATTAACTCTAAATGGATCAAAGACCTAAATGTAAAACCTCAAACTATAAGAATCTTAGAAAATACAGGAGACACCCTTATGGAAATTAGAACTGGCAACCAATTCTTATTCAGAACCCTAAAGGCCAATACCAAAGAAATAAAACAGACAAACTAACATCAGCAAAAGAAGTTCTGCAAAGCAAAAGAAACCATCAAGAGAACAGGGAAACAGCCCACAGAATGGGAAAAAATATTTGCCAACTGTATATCTGACAAAGGCCTAATATCTAGGATCTACAAGAAACTCAAATGCACTGAAAGGAAAAAACAAACAGCCCCTTTAAAAAGTGGGCAAAAGACATGAATAGACACTTCTCAAAAGAAGATATACTGGCAGCCAACAGACACATGAAAATGTGCTCAGTCTCACTCATCATCAGAGAAATGCAAATCAAAACCATGCTGAGGGGGAGGGGCAAGATGGCACCCAGCGAGTGAGGCCCTCCCATCCCCATAGCCGCCCTTGAGCCTCCGGGGCGGAGGCCCTGCCCTCACCGGCTCCCTTCCTCCTCTCCCCCTCCCCGGTGACCTCCTCCTTCCCTTGCTCCCTCCACCTCAGGGGACAGGCCAGTTCCCGGGACACCATGTCAGACTCTGAGGAGGAGAGCCAGGACCAGCAACTGAAAATCATCCTCCTGGGGGATGGCACCTCCAGGAAGACCTCCCTAGCTGCCTATTTTGCTGTTTTGGGAAACAGTACAAACAAACTATAGGACTGGATTTCTTTTTGAGAAGGATAACATTGCCAGGAAATTTGAATGTTACTCTTCAAGTCTGGGATATAGGAGGGCAGACAATAGGAGGCAAGATGTTGGATAAATATATCTATGGAGCACAGGGAATCCTCTTGGTATATGATGTTACAAGTTACCAAATCTTTGAGAATTTAGAAGATTGGTGTACTGTGATGAAGAAAGTGAGTGAGGAGTCAGAAACTCAGCCACTGGTTGCCTTGGTGGGCAACAAAATTGATTTGGAGCATATGCAAACAGTAAAACCTGAAAAACACTTACGGTTTTGCCAGGAAAATGGTTTTAGTAGCCACTTTGTCTCAGCCAAGACAAGAGACTCTGTCTTCCTGTGTTTTCAGAAAGTTGCTGCTGAAATCCTTAGAATAAAATTAAACAAACCAGAAATAGAGCAGTTGCAGTGTATTGTCAGGGCAGAAATAGTGAAGTACCCGCAAGAAGATAATCAACATACCAGCTCTGCTCAGAGTAGAATCTGTTCAGTACAGTACTGCAGAGAGTGGTGAAGGCAGATATTGTAAACTACAACCAGGAGCCTTTGTCAAAAACTGTTAACCCTCCTAAAAGCTCTATGTGTGTAGTTCAGTGAGTGCATTTTTCCTTTGTGTTGATAGTTCTGGCTGCCCTTCACCTGTGGGTGGGCCTGAGGACTTCTAGGAGCTTATTTTATCCGTGGACATCTCTGTATTCCAGTTAACACTTTCCTTCCAACTGACTTCATCATTAAGTTTGCTTCACAGCCTCAGGCACCTTCTTGGGTTAGAAAGAATTCAACTGCGGGACCACACACTTTGAATTCAAAATGGAAATCCTATTCTGTGGAATTAGATTGCTTCACTGAAAAAGAATGATATGTTTCTCTGTATATCCTTGCTTCTTTTTTTCCCGATATAAATTTTTCAAACAAACATGAGAACTATCCAAGTCCTTATCATCAGCCAAGATTTTGCCATTGCATAGTTTTATTTTCTTATCTGAACTCATACATGTCGCAGTATACTTCAGAGTGCAAACTTTAAGCAAGTAATATATTTTACCTACAGATACTTAAGAAGGCATTCTTTTGCTGTCAAAAGTGAAAACATATAAAGCTGTTTCTAACTGAAAGTGCTTGAAATAAGGCTGTAATAGAAATATTTTTTCATTTTTTAAAAAGAGGTTTAAATTGTTTATTTTGTAGTTTGTAACTCACAAAATAGTATTTGATATTGTATTTTTATTACTGTATCATGGTCATTATGTATTGTGTAATACTCAGGTTGGATGGCTTTCTGATTTTTGGTAAATGTTCAGCCAATGCTCCACATGGAGTGTCTCCTACAAACAGTGTAAGAATCCTCCCAGGATGATGTATGACATTCTGTTGGATCAGTGTGGATCGGAGTGTACCTGATGTTCAGATGTTTCCTCTAGCAAATAAATTTATTTAAACTACAAAAAAAAACCATATTGAGATACCATTGTACCCCAGTAAGAATGGCCATCATTAATAAGACAAACAACAACAGATGCTGGTGAGGATGTGGAGAAAAAGGGAACACTGCTACACTGCTACAGAATGCAAACTAGCACAACCTCTTTGGAAGACAGCGTGGCGATTTCTGAAAGACCTAAAATTTGACCTTCTGTATGACCCAGCAATTCCTCTATTGGGAATATACTCGGAGGAACTCAAATCATTCTATAAAAGATACCTGCATACATATGTTTGTTGCAGCTCTATTCACAATAGCAAAAATGTGGAACCAACCATGCTGCCCACTGAATCTGGACTGGATTTTTAAAAAGTGGTACATATACACGATGGAATAGTATGCAGTCATAAAAGACAAACATATGGACTTTGCAGCCACTTGGATGGATTTGGAGTTGATCATACTCAGTGATCTATCACAGAAACAAAGAACAGAGTACCCTATGTTCTCACTCCTAAGCAGACCTTGAACAATTATAATACTATAGGAAAGGGATTGGCAATAGTGGGAATCTGTCAGGAGAGAGGAGGTGAGATTGGCAATTGAGGGAAACTGCTAGCGGAGGAAGGGGCATACCTCATCAACATGGTTACCTGCATAATCCACTTTTGTGTACCTATCCCTGAATTGTACCCCCATCTTTATAATAAATAATAATAATAATAATCCCATAATAACTATAAGTTCTAGTCAGGCAATTACTCCTGATACTCACTACTCCATCGTCTTTTTAAGTTTGAAAGATAGTAATTCATGCACAACCAAGCAAACATTGCAGCAATCTTATCTGCAAAAAACTGAAAGTAAATTCAGATTATATGTGATGTAATAGATGTGTTTTGATAGAGTAAACCCATTAAGTATTTTAAATTTGTCATAAGAGCAAGTCTACATTACAAATGACATCTGAAATATGAACAGTGGAGATTATCCAGATAATCTATCCACACTGCCTTGATGTGGAAATCAGGGATTTAGCAAATGGTATTATTCTGTAGCAATTACATTTTTCTTCTAATGTATCCTTTTGCAGCCTGGTAGAATTATTGCCAGAGAGATACTGGCTCTAGGAGCACAAGTGGGTATACACAGTCATGAAACCCCTCTCCAGGTACTACCTCACTGCAAGGCCTCCTATTGTTTATATTTTTATTATCAAGTTCTCATTTTTATCCTGAACCAAATATGTATATTCCAAAATTAAGATTAAGTAATTGGTTCTGTGCCATGTTATGTCCCCTCACTTCTTCCTAAAGTAGAAGCCACTGTCTACATTCCACGTGTTCAGCTTTTCTCTCACTCCAGCCCTCCAGTTTTTAATGTTTACCCTGAAACTCTCGAGCAGTGAGACCATGTTAACATGTTCCCTGGGAGGCATTCCCATAAGATAGAAGTTGAGTCCACTTCTCTTTTGCAGGTGATGTGAGTAGTGTCCCTTCACTAAAGCCACAGACTATCGAGGCCAGAACATCCCTGAGGACAGGATATGCCTCTTAGTGTGCTGCCATTGAACATTGGTTTGGTTATTTTCATTCTTCAATTGCATAGTTTCAAGCTAGAAAGGACAAAACCTGAAAGATCAAATAGAGCAGGTGATTATAATGGCAAATCACAGAAAGCCCTGGAACGCAAACCAGAAACTATAAATGCATTAATAATTTGTGCCTTAACTTGGAGTTGAATTCATCATTGTTACTTAAGAACAACATTCTACAAAAAACTAAACATACTTACTGCATTTGCTATGGTCAATTACATGTTTTAGAACATTCTGGTGGTTAATTGTGGTATATTTCAGATAAGGATAAGATCCTCATAATTTTCTTGCTTCTCAATCCTGCTTTTCTTCTTCACGTGTGAGATGCACCTTACAACTCTTTGTACACCTGGGAGGGTTTGCAGCAAAACAATTGTGTCTACTCCATTTCAATTAACTATGACCTCAACAACGCGAATAAATGAAATTGGGTTGGAGTAAAACTTATGTGAGTTGTATCCAGGAGTGGTCCTTGGAAATATGTGGTGTAGAGCCATGTCATGTCTACTAGCCAATTATACAGGATCAGTATGATTAAATCGATCTCACAGATAGTCAGATGTGTCCACAATTAAAGACCTACCTCAAATAAGCACTGGATACCAGAGTGTGTTGAAATCACATCATTGCTACAGCTTATGACGTTAAACCATTTCTTTTTCCTACATTAAATACTATGCATGGTAAAGTGATATTATTTTTAAATTTTTATTGAAGCATAACATTTATAAGTACATTGGTTGCATTTATAAGTGTAAATAATAACTGCACTACTCAATGTGTTTCCTAAAAGTGGACCCACATGTCAAGAGTAAAATGTCAGGACACAGAAGATTTCAGCACATTCTTCTAATCCTAAAACCACTTACCCAACTTCTGCCACCATACACATTTTTTCCAAGATACCAAGAGATGACTGCGTGCATTTTCAAGGTAGTTTTAGATTAGGGGCTTATGTGTAACACTATTACTTACTTTGTGGCTTCTGTGGCACGTGTGCACTATTCCCCTTGGGCATATACCTGGAAATGAAAGTATTGGATCCGATTTCTCAGATCAACATTTTATTCTCAGTATTTTGCCATTGATTTTTATTTTATGATCTTCTTCTCATAGATACCCTTTATCAGATTAAAGACAAGTTCTTTAAGTTCTCATCACGAGCACCAAGGTCCCATTATGACCACTATCAAGGACAGCCATGTTCTCAAGGGAGTTGATTGTGATGTATCCTACATGTATAGATAATAAAAAATAATTAACAACCTTTTGTTGTGTTCAATAGTATCTACAGCCAGGTGGATTTCTCATCCTCAGTGATTCTGCAGCACAGATATAGGAGGCTCTGAAGACAAGACCCTCTACCTCCAGCCCATAGGAGACAGCGTGGGGTTGTGCCAAACTCACTGGTTCTGTTTTTTTTTTCCTGTAGAGTGTATACTTCCATATAAACTATGAAAAGTTGAAAATATTCACTCTGAGTTTTAAATCTCTGTATCCTGTTGGTCCTGTTCCAAAATCATGGCCTGGTCCCCACACTCTTTGGCTCATGCTGTCTCTTCTTTCTACAAGTACATGAGGCCAGACCAGCATCAAGAGATCAATCTCTCAGAACCCCAGAGACCCCACTGTGTGCCACCCACATCCTGCTCAAGAGCAAGTCCCTACTGCTATGTGGCCCAAGGTTCCATCTTTTTTTCTCATTTCAGCAATTATGATATATTTGAATGTTTTGTGGAGATTTAGAAAAGTGAATTCATGTTCTTTGCGTAATCTGCATGCCCACCATTCTTTATTTTTTATTTTTATACTTATTACTCATGTTTAATTTAATAGCTAAATATAGATAGATAGATATGACAGATAGATGACATGCACATAGATATAAATAACTAGATAGATTGATAGCTGAAAGATAAACAGACAAATGGGTGGGTGAGTGGATGAATGGATAATAAATAGAAGATATAGATAGATGATAGATAGATGATGGACTGCAGGGGGTCAGCCCCTGCAGAGAGATTTAGAGGGTCCCTTGGAAGGTGTGGCAGCGTCGGCGATTATTCTGGAGAAATAAAGAGAAAGAAAGAGATGAGGGGAGAAAGAAAGAGACTGGACTCCTGCTCAGGTGACCAGAAGCTGTTTAATGGGTGTAATCTCAGGGCTTTTGTCCTCAAACTCTGCAAAGTCATCATCACAGGAAACAAAGGTAGCATGTGTCCTTCACATGAACAGGTCCAGGTGCACAAAGGACACCCCCACTCTCAAGCAAATGTTTTTTCATATGTAAGGAAGAACATGAGGAAGAATAACCACAAATTGTCTTTTTGTATCTTATGCTAACTTAATGTTCCCCAAACCAGTTTCTTATGTGTTCTTAATTGTATTACAACTACATCATCTTGAATGAACATCACTCAATGTCTAAACCCAAAACCACCATAGTGAATTATTAACTTCCATTATTATGTACTAATTCAAACTAGTTTTTATTAAAAACAATTGCTGTTATGGTTACACTCTCCTAGCACCAGCTGGCCTAATTCAAACTTCACTGGCTCCTCCTAAATAAAACTGAACTAAACTTACTTCTATAATAGAATGGTTACTTAAATTTTCTTAATCTATATAAACTATTTTTAAAACCTATATCTATAAATTTCTAAAGGTCACATCAAGAGAACCTGTGACCTGTACTAAGGCTCCTCAATGTGACTCAAAGCCAAACTTAAATTGTGATAAAGCAAAAGACCTTAAGCCATGGGGAATGGGAATAATAAACTCCTAGGTTAGCTGTGTACATTCTGGTCTCAGAGTTTTCTGTTAGAGCCAGCTGGAGCTTTTCTTGGTAGTTTGTGCCAAATGGAAAAGGAAGGAGGGAATGGGTCAACAGCTCCTGAATACATCCTAGTGGTCTCGTGGCCAACAGCCCTTCCTGATCCCTAACGTTCAGTGGGCCTCCGTGGCCGGCTCCCAACAATAGACAAATAGGTAGGTAGATAGATAAATGAATAGATAGATGACAGATTGATAGATATGAATAGGTAGATGATGGATAGATACATAGATAGAAGACAAATATACAGTTAGATAATAAATAGATGGATTTAGATAGATTGATAGAGAGATGAACATATAGAGACATGTGGGGAGATGGATGAATGGATGGGTGAGTAATGGATATATAAATAATAGGCAGGTGATGGAAAGATAGATAATAGATAAAGAGATAAGTAGGAAGATAAGTAGACAGATAAATAATAGGTATATTGATAGATGATGGGTTAGATAGATGATAGACAAGTAGATGATGGATAGATAATATATAAATATATAGATATAGATAGATGGATTGGTACAGAGAGATTGATAGACATATAGACAAGCAGACATATTTGCGAGTGAGTGAATAA